TTTTGTCCCTACCTCTACAACTCATACTAAATTTGGCGATCAAAAACCATGCAACTTTTAAATTAATCTCAATATTTGTGAACTTCCTTAACTTTTGTGGAGCAGTTTATTTTACAAATCGGAAAGGTTATTTTTCTAATAATGTATACAGACTACATCTTCAGCAGATTTAAAAATAACTAACATAATTTAAAGATGGCCCGGATCATTAACATCTCTTCTTTTCTCTCAACATATTCAATTTCGATCTCCGCTTATTCGGTTTACACGTCAAAATTAGCCAATGCTACCAATAAAATTAAAAAAATTGTCGAAATCAAATTTTACCTAGGTATTTCTTAGTAAGGAATTTCTAATGTTGGTGAAATTTGATTTAGGTAAGTATTCGATTTAAGTAATTCCTACCTTAGGAATTACCTAGTTAGGAAATACCTAACAACATGTTGGTGAAATCGGGCATTAGTTACCGGTATCGTTGCTATGATGTCATCTTCGATGATAAAATAGGCACTTGGTTCTTCTAAGCTGCCAACAACTACAAAAAAGGCTGAAGCCTGCATACATGATGTTAGATATATTCGCGATAGAAATCACGGAAACGTAATGAGAAATTCTTCGGGCATCCGACCGCTCCTTTACCAACCAATTCTACTATGATTTTATAACAAACTTCACGGGGACTTTGGATTTCGGAATACATTAAAAGTTTACTCCATAGAGTGCGTACGACGTACTTCAAGAGCGTGCAAATTGCCGGAGCTCGGAGAGCTATTCATTAAAACTCGCAACTAGTTACCCTCGTATAGGTAGGTACAAGAAAATGACTTGGGAAACGCTTTAAAATTCGAATTTTTTACTCGTTTCCGATGTACTCTGGCTCGAAAAGGAACGACATCGTAAAGGTTAAAAGCTTGTTATACGATGGTAGGGTGAAAACTTTTCGATCTGAAATATTTGGAACTGTTAGCTGTCTAAAACCATTTGGAATCATTCCAGAAACATTTTAGATCATTTAGAATCAGCATCATTAGCAGAAATCTACCTTAGAATCATTTAGAATTGTCTAGGAACGTTTAGAGCGCTCCATAATTTTTTAGAGCTGTCTAAAACCATTTAGAATGCTTCAAAACATTTTAAAATGCTTCATAGTCATTTAGAAAGCTCCAGAATCATTTAGAACTGTCTAGAACAATCTCGAACACTGCTGAATCATTTAAAATTGTCTAGAATGATTTAGAAGGCTCCATAGTCATTTAGAAAGCTCCAGAATCATTTAGAACTGTCTAGAACAATCTCGAACACTGCTGAATCATTTAAAATTGTCTAGAATGATTTAGAAGGCTCCATAGTCATTTAGAACGTTCCATAACCATTTGGAACTATCTAAACTCATTTAAATCGCTCCAAAATCATGTAGAACTGAATAGAATCATTTAGAACGCTCCAGAGTCATTTATAATTGTCTAGAACCATTTAGATTGATTCAGTATCATTTAGAACACTCCATGTAGTCGTTTAGAATGCTCCAGAATCATTTAAAACTGTCTACATCCATTTAGAACACTTCGGAACCGTTTAGAACATTCCATAGTCATTTAAAAGGCTCCAGGTGTCAACTTTGATCCGAGTTTAAGCCGAGATTAAATCGGGATCAAATATGACCGTCCTATTCCAGTACTAACTATTGATCCGACTTTGATCCGAGATCAGTTGATCCGACTTTGATCCGCGTACGACCAAACGGGCCATAGAATAGTCTAGAACCATTTAGAACAGTCTAAAATAATTTAGAACGCTCCAGAACTATTTAGAACTGTCTATAACTAAAGATTTCTACCAAATAAAAAGAATATTCTAATTTTTCAACTGAAAATCGCGGGCTTTCCTTGTCAGGTCGAGAACTTTTCGCCTTACCCTTGTACCTGCAAATAAATTATTTAAATTAAAGAAATTATTCGATACATCATACAATTATTATCTATACTAAATAATTATACTAGAAATGATTATTTAAGAATGAATTAAGAATTCTTCTGGAGATAGATATTTATTTTTATTTTTTTTTGTGGTAAAATCCGCTGGAAAGCGAAACGTCGCTGAATTGATCCAATGGGAATATACCCTTAGGCATTCATTTGATTGAAAATACATTTATTTATATCTCGGAACTCACCTGGGACGATTTGAAAATTTATTGTTTTGGAATTTTTTTTTGTCTTATATAATCCCGCTATTTACATTGAATTGTTTATTGATTAATAAATCGTTTGGAGAACATAAGAATTATTTTACGATTCAAAGGGAATCATGGGAAATTCATAGGGAATCGTACGAGGGTAGGGTGAAAAGTTCTCGGACTGATATACTAAGGGCGCATCAATCAGCAAAAATTCTCATTTCCTCTTTGGGATATTTAAAATTGCTTTAGAATTGCTTTAATCATTTAGAACGCTCCAAGAACAATTAGATCTGTCTAGAACCGTTTGGAACTTTCCAGAATCATTTGGAAATGTTTAGAACCATTTACAACGCTCCAGAGTCCTTCAGAACTGTCTAGAACCGTTTAAAACCTTCCAGAATTCATTGGAAATCCAAACTTCTTTGTAGTTTGAAACATTTAGAATTATCCAGAACCATTTAGAACGCTCCAGAAAAATGTAGAACTTTCTAAAACCGTTTAGGATATTCCAGAATAATTTGAAACTGTTTAGAATCCTTTAGAACGTTCCATTTTGAACGCTTCAATATCATTTAGAACTGTCTATAACTATACACTACGACCAGTGATGTTAAAATTACTTTATAATATGTAATTAATTACAATTACAATTACTTTTGGCAAATTGTAATTAATTGCAATTACAATTACAAAATTTGCGAATGTAATTACAATTACAATTACAATCACAATTACTTTGCTTTGGTGTCAGTTTTAAATAATTATTTAGGGATTTGCAATCGAAATTAAACTTTCCACGTATTGAAAATATTAAATAAGTACTTTTGTATCCAATGCAATTGAAATGTAATTGTAAAATGTAATTGTAAAATGTAATTGTAAAATGTAATTGTAAAATGTAATTGTAAAATGTAATTGTAAAATGTAATTGTAATTGTAACGAAAGGAGTAATTGAATTACAAATGAATTACAATTGCGGATCTTGTAATTAATTACCGCCTCAATTACAATAAAAGTAATTCAATTACTTTTTCAATTACTTGTAATTAATTACTTAACAACACTGACTACGACTTATGAAATAAGGAGAATAATTTGTAATTTGATTGTTATCAGGCCAAGAACTTTTCACCTTACCCTTGTAATGCCCAAATAGAACATTGCGCGCGTTAAATTGGAAAATTTAATCCAATGAAAACGGCATTATAAAGGTTGGTAGAACGGACGTAATTCGCCGTATTTCCCAATTAAAACAACTAGGAAACACCGTTTCGTTGGCGAAGCTTTTGCGACCAACTAAATTCCACTTAATGCTTCTTTGGTATAAACAGGGTGATGCTGAAATAAGTGGTCAAACTTTGGGAACAAGTAGAGAACTTCAAAATATTACAAAAACTTTAATGTCATTTTTTTCGAAATGTTCTTGGTTATCACTATTCAAGGTGTTAAAGATGGATTCATGAAGAGGTATTTTTGTTAATAATTCCATTAATAATAGTAAAAATTATGAAATTTGGTATACATACTAGGCAAATAAAATGCCTTACTGCACCATTCAATCAGACAGTCAGTGGCGTTTCTGAGAAACACTTAATTGAGAAAACCATGAAAAACACAGATTTTTGACAGAATGCCTTCCTACTTGATTTTTAATGATGACGATAGTTTAATAATAATATACTGCTCCACAAAAGTTAAGGAAGTTTACAAATATTGAGATTAATTTAAAAATTGCAGGTTTTTGATCGTCAAATTTAGTATGAGTTGTAGAGGAAGGGACAAAAAATCCACTCAGATATGAGAGAAAACATTTTAATTTCGCTTTTTTGAAAATTTGGTCATCAAAAAGTCTGTAGCTTTTAAAATAATCGCAAAATTTGCGAACTTCCTTAACTTTTGTGGAGCAGTTTAATTTTAACGTGCACCAGAATTTTAAAATTTTTTGTATAAACGGTTCACTTCACGAAAAATCATCAAGTATACATTTTTTATGTAGAAAACTTCATTTTTTCATATTATTTAAACAAATCAATAGAAAAGGTTACAATAAAAAAGTTAGGTAAGAATTACCCCACGACCTCCCCCCCATTGTAACCCACCCCTGGATAACTTTTTTAACCCTATTGAATGGTGCAGTAAGGCATTTTATTTGCTTAGTATGTATACCAATTTTAATTATTTTACCATTACTATTAATAGAATTATTAACAAAAATACCTCTTCAAGAATCCCTCTTTAACACCCTGTATACTAATAATCAAGGACAATTCGAAAAAATTACATTTAAGTTTTTGTAATATTTTGAACAGTGATGTTAAAATTACTTTATAATATGTAATTAATTACAATTACAATTACTTTTGGCAAATCGTAATTAATTGCAATTACAATTACGAAATTTGCGAATGTAATTACAATTACAATTACAATCACAATTACTCTGCTTTGGTGTCAGTTTTAAGTAATTATTTAGGGATTTGCAATCGGAATTAAACTTTCCACGTATTGTAAATATTAAATAAGTACTTTTGTGTCCAATGTAATTGAAATGTATTTGTAAAATGTATTGTAATTGTAACGAAAGGAGTAATTGAATTACAAATGAATTACAATTGAGGAGCTTGTAATTAATTACCGCCTCAATTACAATAAAAGTAATTCGATTACTTTTTCAATTACTTGTAATTAATTACTTAACAACAGTGATTTTGAAGTTCTCTACTTGCTCCCAAAGTTTAACCACTTATTTCAGAATCACCCTGTGTATCGCTTCGACAATAATTTTTACTCGGCGCTAATAAATCTTTCGTTCGCTTCCAGGGAATCCCCGTAACAAATGCGCCCTTCAACCCGGACATTCTCTTATGGACTGGATCCGACTCGGCGCGTCCGGAAAGGATCTCACCGGGCTGGGACCTCAGGCAGGCCGGCTTTTTGTAAGTAATCGCCCGATTTCCCCCTTTACCTTCGAACGTATTGTTATATAGTGCATTTCTTTAATGTACCCCCCCTCCTTTTATTTTTTGAACGGATCAACTTAGAAAATTTGGATCGATAGGATAGAAAATATAGTATTTTGGAGTACAATTCACAGATGAAAATTTCAAGATGGCGACTGGGCGCCATATTGAGAAATAAATTTAAATGGAAAGGGGGGTCTTGTGACAGATCATTTTGAAGCTTCAAATGAAATGCTTGAATGTGCTTCAATTTGAAGCACAAATACTGTACAGCCCTGGAATATAAAGTCAATATCCGCAGCCATTACAAAATGGCGGAACATTTAACAATTACCTGAATACAAACAAATTGATATCAATTTTTCTAGAAATATTTGTTTTTCTATGGCAAATAGCAATCCCAGCAAACCGATAAGGTTTGACAGGTTATTTTTGGTTAAAAAAAATTCCAAAAAATTTAAGTACGACAACGAACATTAATTGTTTAGTCAAAATATTCTCATTTAGTTTTTGGTTTTCCTAGTGTTCAAAATATTCTCTTTAGTTTTCGATTTTCCTAGTGTTCAAAGTATTTTCATTTAGTTTTCGGTTGTTTAGTTCTCATTGTAGTTAGGTACCACGTGAACTAACTCTAAAATGGCCAATTCTCGTCCATTGGAAGATGGAGCACCACCACATTACTCCAGACAAGTAATGAACTATTTGGATGCTATTTTCCCTGGTCGTTGGATTGGTCGTCGAGGTCCTACGGAATGGCCAGCCCGCTCGCCAGATTTGACACCTTTAGACTTTTTTTATGGGGCTATTTGAAGCAAAAAGTGTACGAAACTGAACCTGCTTCAATATTGGATATACGAGAAATAATTGCAGATATTTGTTAAAATATCGACGTTACTATGTTCGAAAATGTTCGGATAGGCTGTTCTTATATCAAGAAGTTCAAGGCAACCATTTCGAGCATTTTTTAAACTGAACTCAGCTTATTTCCTCAAATTATGACGTTAAACGTCGATGTATTCAGGTAATTAACAATGTCCGCCATTTTGTAGCAGGTGCAGATATTGACTTTATATTACAGGGTTGTAGAGTATTTGTCAGGAGCTTCAAAATGATGTATCACAAGACCCCCCTTTCCATTTAAATTTATTTCCCAAGATGGCGCACAGTCGCCATCTTGAAATTTTCATCTGTCAATTTTACTCCAAAATATAGTAATCATGTATTAGTTTCCTTATCCCAAATTTCAATTTTCTAAGCTGATCCGTTAAAAAAAATAAAGGGGGGAGGACATTAAAGAAATGCACTGTATATTGGTCCAGGTCACCAAGCAGGAGCTGGCCAAGCACAGCAAAATCGACGACATTTGGCTGGCTATCAGAGGACGAGTGTACAACGTCACCGAATACGTACCATTCCATCCGGGCGGACCGGAGGAACTGATGAAAGGGGCCGGGATCGATGCTACCACTATTTTCGATCAGGTATATACTAGGTTTCAATGTTGTTAAGTAATTAATTACAAGTAATTGAAAAAGTAATTGAATTACTTTCATTGTAATTGAGGCGGTAATTAATTACAAGCTCCTCAATTGTAATTCATTTGTAATTCAATTACTCCTTTCGTTACAATTACAATTACATTTTACAATTACATTTCAATTACATTGGACACATATATTTAATATTTTCAATACTTGGAAAGTTTAATTCCGATTGCAAATCCCTAAATAATTATTTAAAACTGACACCAAAGTAAAGTTATTGTGATTGTAATTGTAATTGTAATTGTAACTTTAATTGTAATTTTAATTACATTCGCAAATTTTGTAATTGTAATTGCAATTAATTAAAATTTGCCAAAAGTAATTGAAAATGTAATTAATTACATATTGTAAAGTAATTTTAACATCACTGCGAGGTTTGTTCCAGCTGCATGTTCGAATTATGTTTGTATCAGTATTGTATTGCGCATGCCCTGGTGTATACAAGTTCGTTATAAGATTGGAACATTTCTTGCTGGAACACTTCGAGCAGTTGTTGGGTATCCTGTAATACGGAAATGTTCTTTGAATTTATTTTCCGAATATTGAAGAACGGTTTCCTCGATATAATTTTATGTTTTGGCCTCTGCGTTTCTTCCAACAATTCTTCAAAATCGTCTTCCGATAATTCATCATAACTACTTTCGTCCATAGCTCCAAATAAGTCAATAATTTCCATATTTTAAAACTAAATTGTAACTAAACAAATATTTATGACCAACAACAAACTATTATAACCATACTTATTTTCGAATTGTTCTAAATGGTCTCACTTCAAACGAGAACAGTTTGGCAGATCCGAACAATTCAAACAAAACACGAATTCTGTCGGAACAGCAAACATTTACTCAGAACACCAAATAGCACGCTGCTGGAACGTTTAAAAATCATTGCGCATGCTCACAATGTTCGTAACAAAAGAAAACTTGCTGCTGGAACAAACCTACGTTTAAGACACATACACAGGTACTCGGAAAATTAAAAGAAAGTTCCTACTCATTTTAAATTTTTCTTGAATCTCCTTCAAAATATGCTCCTTTTGAAGCGATACTCATAGTCAGAGGCCTTTTGCAATCATCGAAACGTTTTTTAAAGGCCTTTTTTGGTACGGTTTTTAGCTCCTTATTTGAATTTTCTTTGGTGGCATTTATGGAGTCAAAACGGGATCCACGAAGTGGTAATTTGAGTTTGGGATAAAACTATTGCACGGGACTATATCTGGTGAGTAAAGCGGCTGGTCGATGGTACTTCACACGAACCAGCATGTCTTGCATCGACCAGTCGATGATATGGTTTTCGGAACGAGATCATCCTCAATGCGCAGCATGCCTGATTGATTGAGCAAAATCAAACGAGCAGTTTAATTGGAGATGTTGAAGTCAAGTGCTACTTCTCTAATACTAGAATGATTATTTTCGAACTCAATTTCCTTCATTTTCTCACCGTTATTATTGGTTGAAGAAGTCGAAGATTTCGGGAACAAGCCAAGTCTTTAACGATCTTCCGACGGTCTTTAAAAGTTTTGAAACATTCGTAAACTTGCGTTTTCGATAAAACAGAGTCACCTTAAGCATTTGCATTGATTCTGTCTCACGAAATTCTATTACGTTTTCTATTTTAGGTCCATCCGTGGGTGAACTACGAACAGATCCTGCAAAAGTGCTTGGTGGGGAACCTAGTTTCGGTGGAACCCAACGTCGATACCGAGAGGTTATTTTTTGGTTCAGCCACTGGTACTAAAGTTGCCGCTGATGCGGAAAAATTAGATGAAAACGACACCAATAAAAATACCGGTAAGTTACCTTCCTTTCCTTCCTTTCCTTCCTTTCCTTCCTTTCCTTCCTTTCCTTCCTTTCCTTCCTTTCCTTCCTTTCCTTCCTTTCCTTCCTTTCCTTCCTTTCCTTCCTTTCCTTCCTTTCCTTCCTTTCCTTCCTTTCCTTCCTTTCCTTCCTTTCCTTCCTTTCCTTCCTTTCCTTCCTTTCCTTCCTTTCCTTCCTTTCCTTCCTTTCCTTCCTTTCCTTCCTTTCCTTCCTTTCCTTCCTTTCCTTCCTTTCCTTCCTTTCCTTCCTTTCCTTCCTTTCCTTCCTTTCCAATCCATCCATCCATCCACTTTTCATTTCAAAATTATTCTATACTATATTACCTCTATTTCCTTATGATAATTTTTCATAATCAGTTCATCATCACCTTTAACCGTTCGCATTCGTCCGTGCCTACTAGACCGATGGAGGAAAAGCGAATGTATCGCAAAATCAATTATCCATCCGTCCCTTCCGTTTCGATCCTCTAAACGCATTATCCTCATCCATAATGGATCGCGTCCGGGCAAAAAATTTATCGAATTTTTCATTCCAGCGGAGCCCGAACGGCCGTCGATCGAGGAGAACGAGGATCCGACGAAACGGGAATCGGAAGAACCGCCAATTTCGCTGCCCAGGTTCGATTGGATACAAAAACTGGACTATATCACGGCGATATTCTACTTGGGCGCCTTCGCTAATCCTCTGGTGGAGGTCCTTCCGCCGAATTCCGATCACCAAGTCGACGTTTCGGTTACGATAGGCGGAAAAGTGTACAAGTGAGTTTGGGTTACAATGGCCTGCAGGATCGCCTGATCTTACACCGTTTATGGGGATAATTTTTTTGTTAGGAACGAATTGGCCTTTCACGAGAACGTCCAATGGCCGTGTTCGATCAAAATGACGTGGGAGACCGGTAAATTGGAGCTGGTATTCAAAAAATCGTCGAGCCGTATTTGGGAGAACTACGGGAAATTGGTACAAAGTTCGTCGGACGTTTCCAACAGCAAGATGAAATTCGATTGCGTGTTGAAGAAGAAAGTCCAAGTTAATCATAACATTTACCTGCTGGGTTTGGAACGGAACGACGGAGGTCGAATGGTCGTTCCTGTTGGAAAGCACGTTAGAGTTTTCGTTAACGTAGAAGGTTCGTGGAAGGTTCTATTTAACTCGTTTAATACTGCATAGAAGGCTATTAGGCCTTCGAGCTATTGGTCAGAGCTCATCGGTATAAGAAAGGAACAAGTCGAGCTCGCGCAGCTAGCGGGACTTTGGTTATTTAACTGTTTTTGCGTAGAAGGTCGTTATGCCTTCAAGCTGTTGCTCTATGAAGCAGAGCTTACAGTTATTTACAGAAAAACCTTGGTTATTTAACTGTCTTTGCATAGAAGGCCTTCAGACCTTCAAGCTGTTGCTCTATGAAGCAGAGCTTACAGTTATTTACAGAGAAACCTTGGTTACTTAACTGTCTTTGCGTAGAAGGCCTTCAGACCTTCAAGCAATTGCTCTATGAAGCAGAGGTTACAGTAATATACAGAGAAACCTTGGTTATTTAACTGTCTTTGCGTAGAAGGCCTTCAGACCTTCAAGCTGTTGCTCTATGAAGCAGAGCTTACAGTTATTTACAGAGAAACCTTGGTTATTTAACTGTCTTTGCGTAGAAGGCCTTCAGACCTTCAAGCTGTTGCTCTATGAAGCAGAGCTTACAGTTATTTACAGAGAAACCTTGGTTATTTAACTGTCTTTGCGTAGAAGGCCTTCAGACCTTCAAGCTGTTGCTCTATGAAGCAGAGCTTACAGATATTTACAGAGAAACCTTGGTTACTTAACTGTCTTTGCGTAGAAGGCCTTCAGACCTTCAAGCTGTTGCTCTATGTAGCAGAGCTTACAGTTATTTACAGAAAAACATTGGTTATTTAACTGTCTTTGCGTAGAAGGCCTTCAGACCTTCAAGCTGTTGCTCTATATGAATCAGAGCTTACAGTTATTTACAGATTAACCTTGGTTATTTAACTGTCTCTGCTTAGAAGGCCTTCAGATATTTAAGCTGCTGGTCTATACGACAAAACCCATCGTTATAAGAATGGTGCTAGAGCTAGGATCAAGTTTAGCTTGCGCAGCTAGCGAGATCTTGATTATTTAACTGTCTTTGCGTTGAAGGCCTTCTGGCATTCGATCTGTGACTCTATGGGGCAGAGCTTAGAGTTATTTATAGAGAAACCTTGGTTATTTAACTGTCTTTGCGTAGAAAGCCGTCAGGCCTTCGAGCTGTTGGTCTATACGACAAAGCACATCGTTATAAGAATGATGCTAGAGCTAGGATCAAGTTGAGCTTGCGCAGCTAGCGAGATCTTGATTATTTAACTGTCTTTGCGTTGAAGGCCTTCTGGCATTCGATCTGTGACTCTATGGGGCAGAGCTTAGAGTTATTTATAGAGAAACCTTGGTTATTTAACTGTCTTTGCATAGAAGGACTTCAGACCTTCAAGCTGTTGGTCTATACGACAAAGCACATCGTTATAAGAATGATGCTAGAGCTAGGATCAAGTTGAGCTTGCGCAGCTAGCGAGATCTTGGTTATTTAACTGTCTTTGTGAAGAAAGACTTCAGGCCTTCGAGCTTCTGGTCTATACGACAAAGCCCATCGTTATGAGAATGATGCTAGAGCTCTCGGATCAAGTCGAGCTCGCGTAGCTAGCGAGATCTTGGCTATTTAACTGTCTTTCCTTAAATGGCCGTCAGACCTTCGAGCTACTGATCTATACAACAAAGCCCATCGTTATGAGAATGGTGCTAGAGCTTGGATCAAGTCGAGCTCGCGCAGCCAGCGAGAACCGGCTATGAAACAGTCTGACGGAGGGGCGTAGCCCTTACCCAGCGCCCTGCTACTCAACCATTTTACTCATCAACTAATTCTTTACCGCGCAGGTCAAGAAATATCGAGGAGTTACACGCCCGTCCCGACGAGCCTCTTCGACGCCATCGCCCTGAACGATTCGACGCCCGACGAAATTTGCCTTATGATCAAACGGTACGAGGCCGGCCTCGTCAGTTCGGCCGTGACGAAGAAGCAGCCCGGCGATTCCGTCCGTTTGACCAAACCCCTCGGAGATTTCGATTTGAAGAGGATAGAAAAGAGGGAGGCCTTTCTGCTGTTGGCCGCCGGTACGGGGATCACCCCCATGCTGTCGTTGCTCGTCTGTTTGCTCGAAAGGAGGGTGAAGAAGTGGTGAGTATTAACTCTAAGGATCCCAGTGGGCTGTGTAGATGTCTGGTTGGATGACAGTATTAGATGAGGCAGTTGATGAGTGAACGGGCTGAATGTCCGCTTTAGTAGAGGCCATAGACCTATTAACTATGGACGCGGTTTAGACAAAGAGGTAGTGTTGTCGATGAATGAGAGAGATGCAGCTACTTTGGGCATATGGCAATGAGAGATTGGACAATGCATTAGCCAATAGTAAGAAAGCAAAAGACCACGTCAGTTACGTTTTTAGATATGCAAGGTAGCTGGGGTAGAGGAGGGTAGCTTATGGTAGAATAGGGTTGAGAAGTGCAGCGGAGGGTATTGTGATTTATTATTTTTTTGCCGAGCAAAAAGCATTTTTCCGCTGAGCCTAAATTCCCACGCATTTGCAAATACAGTTCTTATTTTGTATTGTTATTTGGAACATCCTACCTATTAGCCAGTACAGATTTCGCAATTTAAGACCTAACTGCTTTCTCTTGTAAAAAATATGTTTCTTCCAGGTCATTCTTCTGTTCAAGTGGATACAAAGATAAAAACAATATTTAAATATTAAGCGTATAAAAAATTGAACAGATTAATAGCCTTTTTTCACGCACCCTGTATATATTTTATATTTTTTTTGGTCCCGCCTACTTTTAGCCCAAACTAGCTCCATCTCTCACGGACCTCTCTCTCTATCATTGGGAACGCTGAATAACCTCAAAATACCGATTGTGCCGCGTCCATACTTAATAGGTCTATGGTAGAGGCTGGAGATAGTGTGTGCAGTACACGGCTCTAAATGTCTAAGGTCTGGAAACTCCCTATGCTTATGCATTAGAGAATGTGTCACGTTATTTGAGGACTTTTTGAGCTTCACTTTTGCGCCGCACCGTGGCGAACGATCGGAGGACAAACTTATCTTAGCCAATCAGCGTCGCGTTACATTTTAATCGCGGTTGTGTGAAATGACAGTTCGAGCTGTCAAAACTTTAAAAATTATTATTTGACGTTTCGAGGAGAAAATGGAGAAATACATTAACCGAAGATACGTGAGGCGTGATGTTAACAACAAAATCGTCGCTGATTTAAGTATATTTTTATATTTTGTATCTATTTTTAGTTTGAATATAACCTTTCTTAATGCTAATTCTATATAATTCGTACACAAATAACCGTGGTCCTTTACAACATCGCATCCTAGCGGCCGTTTTAGGAACCCTGTTTTATCCTCAAATAACGGGACACTTTTTCGACCTATGTTTCCAGACCTTAGACCTTAGAAATATAGGATCGTGGTATTAACTCTGCGAATCCCAGTAGGCTATGTAGATGTCTGGTTGGATGACAGTATTAGATGAGGCAGTTAATGAGTGAAAGGGCTGAATGTCCGCTTTAGTAGAGGCCGGAGATTGTGTGTGTAGTATAATCGAAACGTGTAAAGTTCGTACGATTTAAAATGACAGTGGGGTGATTTTTAGTAATTTCCACGCAGTTCGAAATGTCCCTAGTTTTTAATTAGTTAATTCTGACATTTGACTAGGGGAATTTTACGACGCGCGATTGCCGATGCGTTGTTGCCATATCGTTATTCTCATAATCTCGCTCTTTGTGTTTGACACGTTTTTAGTAAAATTTGTTGTTTTTTTGGGACTTTGCCAACGATTTTGTCTTTTTTTGGAGCGTTATAAATGGTTCTAGACAGTTCTAAATGATTTTGGAGAGTTCAAAATGGTTCGAATCTAGACAGTTCTAAATACTTTTAGAGCATTTTAAATAATTCTAGACAATTCTATACTCTGTTTAAAAACTAGAAGAAGTGATTTGAAAAGTCAGACTTACACCCAAAAAAAATTGCAACGCGGCAAATTTAAATACTTACACATCTTTCATTTGCATAAAATTGAAAGTAAACTGACAATAACTTTATTAAAAGATGAAATAAATTAACAAATCACCTAAATACGGCATATTAAATACTTTACATTTCTAAAACATAACCTAAAAATGTGGTAAACAAGAATAATAAATTTCTATAGCATGAACTTGGCTCGTAATTAACCAATAAACAAACGCGAGTGTTGCCAACTTAAATTCAAACCGCTCCTCCTAGTTTTTAAACAGAGTATAAATGGTTCTAGGCAGTTCTAAATGATTCTGGAGCATTCTAAATGGTTATAGCCAGAAAGTTCTAAATAATTCTAGAGTCTTCTAAAATGCTTCTAAATGGTTCTAAGCAGTTCTAAATTGTTCTGAAATGTTCCAAATGGTTATAGACAGTTCTGGAGCGTTCTAAATGGTTCTAGCCAGTTCTCAATAATTCTAAAGCGTTCTAATGAATTCTAGACAATTCTAAATAGTTCTAGGTATTTCTAAATGGTTCTAGATAGTTCTAAATAATTATGGAGCTTTCTTAATGGTTATAGACTGTTCTGGAGCGTTCTAAACGGTTCTAGACAGTTCTAAATAAATCTAGAGCGTTCTAATGAATTCTAGACAATTCTAAATAGTTCTAGGTATTCCTAAATGTTCCGGATAGTTCTAAATGATTCTGGAGCTTCCTAAATGGTTATTCTAGACAGTTATAAATGAATCAAGAATCTTCTAAAATGATTCTAGATAATTCTAAACGGTTCTAGGCAGTTCTAAATGATTCTGAGATGTTCTAATTGGTTCCAGAGAATTCTAAATAATTCTAGAGCTTTCTAATGAAATCTAGACAATTCTAAATAGTTCTAGGTATTCCTAAATGGTTCTGGATAGTTCTAAATGATTCTGGAGCTTTCTAAATGGTTCTAGACAGTTTTAAATAATTCTAGAGCGTTCTAAATAATTCTAAACAATTCTAAATGGTTCTAAGCAGTTCCAAATGATTCTGGATCGTTCTAAATGGTTATAGACAGTTCTAAATGGTTCTGGAGCGTCCTAAACTATTCTACACAGTTCTAAACAATGTTTAAATTCTACTATGTGTGACTTTTTTAATTTGTAAACATAACCTTAAATTAAATGCATCTGTCATGTCATACAAAGGATTTCAATTACAAACCGGCAACGTTGCATCAGGCTAGCTCGTGACGTCATTGTCATTTTAAAACGTATGAACTTTACATTTTCTTTGCCTCGGATTAATCTGCGTATTTAGTTTGATTGTTGCTAATAAAATTAGTTATAGAAAGTTATGTCACTAATTGTCTCGACTAAATTAAACCTTCTTCGTTTTCGAAACGACGTTTCGAGATTGTTGCCGGAAAATTCTTGAGGATTTTCAGCTATTAATATTAATTACGCATGCAATGCAAATTAATTCGAATGATTCGCATATTTTTTTTTTCGTTTATTAAACCGAACCAAATCGCTTTTCTTTCGAACTTTAACTACTTTTGGTTGCATTTGAATTCATATTAATTAAAACCACTTAATTTCAGCATTAAATTGTTACGCAAACAGAACGGGATTGCTCGGAACAATTAATAGTTGCCGGAATTAATTCGGCTTTGGGGGATTTTCATAGCTAATTTGAGTTTAGTTAATAATTTTATGAGCTTGTTTGTTCGAATATAATTTGTTTAAAATTGGGCGGAACATTTCGATTTCCTATCGGGAATATTAATTTAGGATTTAGTAATTATTATTTGTTTCGTGAATTCTCGTCTAGTTTGATATTAAATACACATTTGCGTAGCATTGTTATTAGAGAAATTTTCACTAAATTGGTGCATTTTATTTATTTATTCCAGTCAGTTTGCGAGGTTGCTCTTCTTTAATAGAAAAACCGAAGACATTCCTTTCAAAGAGCAGCTCGATAAATTAGAAATGGCCGACTCTAGGTAAGTAATTACGTCTTTTCAGCAGTGCTAAATATACGAGGGTTGTTTCCAAAGTTCTGGGAATTGTGCTTTAATTAATTTGAGCAGAATTTATTGGCGATAGACGTGTTAATTAAACATCTGTATCAGATTGAACAATGTTGCACTGGATAGTTGCACAAACACGTTAAGACTTGTCTGTCACCAAAGTAAGTTCTGCCTAATTTAATTAGAGCACAATTTCCAGAACTTAGGAAACATCCCTCGTATAATCAACCTATTAAGACCCAGCATTCTATTGTAATTTTTAGAGCTTGGAAAACATGCAAAATGCATGTAAAGTACATAGGTACATGCATTATTTTCACAAAAAATTCTAAATGCATATTATGCTAATTCAAATTTTGGATTTTTCAATATACAGGATGTCTCATAAGTTGATACTTTTTTAACTGCGTATAGATCTTTTAATTCTAAGCAACTTTTCCAAGTAAAATTTTTTAATATTCTGGAAAATAAGGGGGAATGTTTTTTTTTCAATTTTTAATTATTAAGAAGTTAGTTAATACAGCTCTGTTAATTAAAAAAATTTAAAGAAACTGCTCAAAATTGTTGCCATTTTGATTGGAAACGCTTTGGAAACACTCTATAAATAATGAGAATGTCCACCAATTCATTATTTGTATAAAAATGCGCCATTTTCAATTCAACAATCGAAAAATTAATTTTTTGTCATTAATTATTTATTATTTTATTGACACCTGTACGGTAATGGCAGGTACGTATTGGAAGAAATTCGAAATTTAAAGAAATTTTAAATATTTAAAGTTATGTTAAAAAAAGTATGAATTTATTAGACACAATGTATGTATTTTGCCAATAAATAATTAAAATACATTAAACATAAAAACGAATAATAAAATAAAAGCGTTAACAATTACTTGCAAATTCGGGTAACTAAAAGAAACGCCCAATGCTTATCCTGAGAACTCTTGAATGTAGTGTTCTGAACGGTTCGAGAGCGTTCTAAATTGTTCTAGATAGTTCTAAATGAATCTGGAGCGTTCTAAATGGTTTTAGACAGTTCTAAATGAATTTAGAGCATTCCAAATAGTTCTAGACAGTTCTAAACGAATCTGGAGCATTCTAAATGGTTTTAGACAGTTCTAAACTAACCTGGAGCATTCTAAATGGTTCTACACAGTTCTAAATGAATCTATAGCGTTCTTAATGGTTCTAGACAGGTTTAGATTAACCTGGGACGTTCTAAATGGTTTTACAGTTCTAAATGATTCTGAAGTATTCTAAATGAATCTAGATAGTTCTAAATGGTTCTGAAGCGTTCTAAATGACTATAAAGCGTTCTAAATGGTTCTACTCAGTTCTAAATGAATTTGTAGCGTTCTTAATGGTTTTAGACACGTCTAAATAAACCTGGAGCGTTCTAAATGGTTTTACAGTTCTAAATGGTTCTAGCCAGTTCTAAATGAATCTAGAACGTTCTAAATGGTTCTGGGCAGTTCTTAATAAATCTGGAGCATTCTAAATGGTTCTAGATAGTTCCAAATAAACCTAAAACGTTCTAAATAGTTCTAAACAGTTCTAAATAAATCTGGAGCGTTTTAAATGGTTCAAGGCAGTTATGAATGATTCTAAAGCATTCTAAATTGTAAAAGACAGTTCTAAATGAATCTGAAGCACTCTAAATGGTTTTACACAGGTCTAAATGATTCTAGAGCGTTCTACATGGTTCTAGGCAGTTCTTAATAAATCTGGAGCATTCTAAATGGTTCTAAATAGTTCCAAATAAACATAAAACGTTCTAAATGGTTCTGAACAGTTCTAAATTAATCTGGAGCGTTCTAAATGGTTCAAGGCAGTTATGAATGGTTCTAAAGCATTCTAAATGGTAAAAGACAGTTCTAAATGTTTCTGGACAGTTCTAAATGAACCTGATGTCTTCTAGATGAATTTAGACAGTTCTAAGTGACTCTAGACAGTTCTAAATGTTTCTGGACAGTTCTAAATGAGTATGATGCCTTCTAGATGAATTTAGACAGTTCTAAATGACTCTAGACAGTTCTAAAGGTTTCTAAAGCGTTCGAAATGGTTCTACATAGTTCTAAATGAATCAAGAGCGTTCTAAATGGTTCAAGGCAGTTATGAATGGTTCTAAATGGTTCAAGGCAGTTATGAATGGTTCTAAAGCATTCTAAATGGTAAAAGACAGTTCTAAATGTTTCTGGACAGTTCTAAATGAATCTGATGCCTTCTAGATGAATTTAGACAGTTCTAAATGACTCTAGACAATTCTAAATGTTTCTAAAGCGTTCGAAATGGTTCTACACAGTTCTAAATGAATCTAGAGCGTTCTAAATGGTTCTGAACAGTTCTAAATGAATCTGGAGCGTTCTAAATGGTTCAAGGTAGTTATGAATGGTTCTAAATGGTTCAAGGCAGTTATGAATGGTTCTAAAGCATTCTAAATGGTAAAAGACAGTTCTAAATGTTTCTGGACAGTTCTAAATGAATCTGATGCCTTCTAGATGAATTTAGACAGTTCTAAATGACTCTAGACAATTCTAAATGTTTCTAAAGCGTTCGAAATGGTTCTACACAGTTCTAAATAAATCTAGAGCGTTCTAAATGGTTCTGAACAGTTCTAAATGAATCTGGAGCGTTCTAAATGGTTCAAGGTAGTTATGAATGGTTCTAAAGCATTATAATGGTAAAAGACAGTTCTAAATGTTTCTGGACAGTTCTAAATGAGTCTGATGCCTTCTAGATGAATTTAGACAGTTCTAAATTACTCTAGACAGTTCTAAATGTTTCTAAAGCGTTCGAAATGGTTCTACACAGTTCTAAATGAATCTGGAGCGTTCTAAATGGTTCAAGGCAGTTATGAATGGTTCTAAAGCATTCTAAATGGTTCTAGACAGTTCCAAATAAACCTAAAACGTTCTAAATAGTTCTAAACAGTTCTAAATAAATCTGAAGCGTTTTAAATGGTTCAAGGCAGTTATGAATGATTGCACTGATGAAGCACTCTAAATGGTTTTACACAGGTCTAAATGATTCTAGAGCGTTCTAAATGGTTCTAGGCAGTTCTTAATAAATCTGGAGCATTCTAAATGGTTCTAGACAGTTCCAAATAAACCTAAAACGTTCTAAATAGTTCTGAACAGTTCTAAATGAATCTGGAGCGTTCTAAATGGTTCAAGGCAGTTATGAATAGTTCTAAAGCATTCTAAATGGTTTTAGACAGTTCTAAATGTTTCTGGACAGTTCTAAATGAATCTGATGCCTTCTAGATGAATTTAGACAGTTCTAAATGACTCTAGACAGTTCTAAATGTTTCTGAACAGTTCTAAATGAGTCTGATGCCTTCTAGATGAATTTAGACAGTTCTAAATGACTCTAGACAGTTCTAAAGGTTTCTAAAGCGTTCGAAATGGTTCTACACAGTTCTAAATGAGCCTAGAGCGTTCTAAATGGTTCTGAGCAGTTCTAACTGAATCTGGAGCGTTCTAAATGGTTCAAGGTAGTTATGAATGGTTCTAAAGCATTATAATGGTAAAAGACAGTTCTAAATGTTTCTGGACAGTTCTAGATGAATTTAGACTGTTCTAAATGATTCTGGATCGTTCTAAAGGGTTCTGAGGCGTTCTAAATGAATATGGAGCGTTCTAAATGGTTCAAGGTAGTTATGAATGGTTCTAAAGCATTATAATGGTAAAAGACAGTTCTAAATGTTTCTGGACAGTTCTAGATGAATTTAGACAGTTCAAAATGACTCTAGACAATTCTAAATGTTTCTAAAGCGTTCGAAATGGTTCTACACAGTTCTAAATAAATCTGGAGCATTTTAGTGCATATTTTCCAAGCTCTATATAGATTTTTATTCATTTCATTTAATAAATTTTGATTTTGTTTGTTTCTTATTGTTAAGGTTAAAAATCGACCACGTCCTATCGGAACCAGGAACAGATTGGATCGGTCCGAGAGGACACATCAACAAAGAAATGATAAACGTCGCCATCCAGCAACACATCAAAGATACCGGTTACACGATACGCGATCTATTCGTCTTCGTTTGCGGACCAAATCAATTTTTGAATTTGTCGCTCGACGAGCTGCAAAGTTTAGAGATTTCGAACGATCAAATACACGTTTTTAGCGGATAGCACGGAGACGGGGCGCGTCCTCCTCGTCGATTTATCCACTGCGATAATTATTATGGTAACGATTCACATTCCGAAGAGATGTCCCATGTCGATGGAACGAACGTTTCCGATTTCGTTTTCGACGTTTTCAATTTTGTCGGGTTAAGGTGTTGCTAGAAATAAAGTTGTTTTCGTTTTAATTTTTTTTTTGTAGTTTTATTCGTGACCAGTCGATATAACCCAAAGACTAAATCGCTGAAGATAAAATAGTTCAATAAAATAGTTCAAAGACAAAACATTCACCACTTTACTGTACTCTACTCTGAATCTACTTACAATAAAAATCTACTCTGAATCCATTTGTACTTTACACTGTACTCTACACTACTCATCTACTATGCTATGAATCTACTCTTTGTCTACTCCAGATGTATTCTAAATTTGCTCTGAATTTATCTTAAATTTACTCTGAATCACTCTGTACACTCTACATTTACTCTGAATCTGTACTCTATACTACTCTACACTACTCTACCCTAAATTTATCTTAAATTTACTCTGAATCACTCTGTACACTCTACATTTACTCTGAATCTGTACTCTACACTACTCTATCCTGAATATATCCTAAATTTACTCTGAATCTACTCCGAATCTATCTGAACTTTACACTGTAGTCTACTCTGAATCTATTCTATACTCTAAATTTATCCTTAATATGCTGTGAATTTATCTGTACCCTAAACTACTCTACAATACTCTGAATCTATCCCAAATTTACTCAGAATTTATGTTAAATCTACTGTGAATCTATCTGTACGTTACACTGTACTCTACACTTCTCTACTCTGAATCTATCCTAAATGTACTCTGAATTTATCCTTAATCTAATTTGAATCTACTCTGAATCTAACCTATATTAACTTTTAATCTACTCTGAATCAATATGTACTTAATGCATTACATTTACTCTGAATCTATTCTGAATTTATCTGTACTTTACACTGTACTCTACACTACTCGGAATCTAACCTTTATTTACTTTGAATATACACTGAATCTATTCTAAATTAACTCTGAATCTACAATGAATCTATCTGTACTTAAACTGTATTCTAAACTACTCTGAATCTACACTGGATCAATCTGTACTTTAAACTGTATTCTAAACCACTCTAAATCTATCCTATATTTACTCTGAATCTACACCGGATCAATCTGTTCTTTACACTGTACTCTACACTACTCTGAATCTATTCTAAATTAACTCTGAATCTACAATGAATCTATCTGTACTTAAACTGTATTCTAAACTACTCTGAATCTACACTGGATCAATCTGTACTTTAAACTGATGTATTCTAAACTACTCTGAATTTATCCTATATTTACTCTGAATGTACACTGGATCAATCTGTACTTTAAACTGTATTCTAAACTACTCTGAATCTATCCTATATTTACTCTGAATCTACACCGGATCAATCTGTTCTTTACACTGTACTCTACACTACTCTGAATCTATTCTAAATTAACTCTGAATCTACAATGAATCTATCTGTACTTAAACTGTATTCTAAACTACTCTGAATCTACACTGGATCAATCTGTACTTTAAACTGATGTATTCTAAACTACTCTGAATCTATCCTATATTTACTCTGAAATTACACTGGATCAATCTGTTCTTTACACTCTACTCTACACTACTCTGAATCTATTCTAAATTAACTCTGAATCTACACTGAATCTATTCTAAATTAACTCTGAATCTACATTGAATCTATCTGTACTTTAAACTGTATTCTAAACTACTCTGAATCTATCCTATATTTACTCTGAATCTATCTGTTCTTTACACTCTACTCTACACTACTCTGAATCTATTCTAAATTAACTCTAAATCTACACTGAATCTATTCTAAATTTACTCTGAATCTACTCTCAATAAATCTTGAATCTTCTACACTACTCTAAAATGTAAATTTGTTGACGATTAAAATAACCTTTTAAGCTAATGAATATATTTTTGCCCCCAATTTACTACCACTATCGCATCCAGCAAGACCTTCCTACGTCCAACATACAACTTACATAACAAACACAAAAATATTAATTTATAGAATTTAATTAAAAAAAAACCTATACAATTGTCACCCGTAGACACACGTCAACATAAAATTACAAACAAATTCACAGTACAATACAACAAAACAACTACATATATTTCCTAAATGCTACGAAACAACATCACCACATTGAATCTTCCTATGCAACTTAACCAACTGCGTTATAGCGGAATGCGTACCTTTGTACAACTTTATACAACTTTGAATCTATTCTAAATTAACTCTGAATCTACATTGAATCTATCTGTACTTTAAACTGTATTCTAAACTACTCTGAATCTATCCTATATTTACTCTGAGTCTACACTGTATTAATCTGTTCTTTAAACTGTACTCTACACTACTCTGAATCTATTCTAAATTAACTCTGAATCTACAATGAATCTATCTGTACTTAAACTGTATTCTAAACTACTCTGAATCTACACTGGATCAATCTGTTCTTTACATTGTACTCTACACTACTCTGAATCCATCCTAAATTTACTCTGAATCTACTCTCAATAAATCTTGAGACTTCTAATTTACTTCTAATTTACTACCACTATCGCATCCAGCAAGACCGTCTTACGTCTAACATACAACTTACATAACAAACACAAAAATATTAATTTATAGAATTTAATTAAAAAAAAAACCTATACAATTGTCACCCGTAGACACACGTCAACATAAAATTACAAACAGAATTTACAGTACAATACAACATTTACAAACAAATACATATATTTCCTAAATGCTACGAAACAACATCACCACATTGAATCTTCCTATGCAACCTAACCAACTGCGTTATAGCTGCATGCGTACCTTTGTACAACACCTCGTGCTTGTAGTCATCGGTCAGCCTCATGATGAGCCTGGATTTGACGTTCTTGGCCACCAATTTCCCAATGGACCGTTCCAGATTCCTCGCCATCTTCTCCTTCGGGCCGCGCTCCGATCCTTTCGCCTTCGCCTTCGCCTTGCCCATCACCCTCTTCACCACGTTGCAAATGCTGATGTACTCCGCCTCGTCCTCCAAGGAGCCCGAGCGCTCGTACTTCCTGAGGGCCCTCTCGCGGCACTTGATGATCCTGGACGCGCAATCCTTGGATTTGGTTGTTTTGCGGGGTTTAAGGATCCTGTCTTCTTTGAAGGGTTTGACGATTTTCACCACGTATTTGCCCATTGTGTCAACGAATGTCAGTTCGGAGACAAATGTATAATGTGCTCGATTGCTTGGTGGTTTGTAAATGACGGTTCGATTGCAGGTAACACTGTATATAAATCCTTTTCGGTTGGATTGATTGGGAATTGTGGTGGTATTTACCCTATTAAGTTTCTCGGAAATATCTTATAATAATCCCCGTAATGAGTTGTGAGAAAGTGATTAGGATTATTTGGATCGATTAACAGCTTGCTTGAAGGGGCTGCTATTGTTAGCAATGCATTTTCTTTGAAATTTTAAATTGATATTGGATTATTGGGGTAGTTTTGCATTATGCATATACAAGGGTAAAGTGAAAAGTTTTCCGTCTGATAACGAAAGACCTAGATTTTCAGTCGAAAAATTATATTATTCTCCTAATATAGTTTTAGACAGTTATAAATGATTATGTGGATCATTCTAAATCATTTGAGACAGTTCCAAATAAATCCTGGACGCGTAATCTCTGGATTTTTTGCCGTGCTTAAGGATTCTGTTTTCTTTGAAGACGATTTTCACCAAGTATTTACCCATAGTATTAACGAATATCAATTTGGAGATAAATGTAATGTACTCGATTGTGAGGAAGTTTATAAATGACATTATTGAATACTATTCGATTGGATTGTTTGGGATTTGCCATGTTATTTACCCTATTAAAATTCTCGGGAATATCTTAAACTAATCTCCCTTAATGAGTTATAAGAATAAAGGGATTAGGATTATTTGGATCAATTAACAACTTGCTTGAAGGGGCTGTTATTGTTAGCAATGCATTTTCTTTGAAATTTTAAATTGATATTGGAGTATTGGGGTAGTTTTGCATTGTGCATATACAAGGGTAAAGTGAAAAGTTTTCCGTCTGATAACGAAAGACCTAGATTTTCAGTCGAAAAATTATATTATTCTCCTAATATAGTTTTAGACAGTTATAAATGATTATGTGGATCATTCTAAATGGTTTGAGTATAAATAAATCCTGGACGCGTAATCTCTGGATTTTTTGCCGTGCTTAAGGATTCTGTTTTCTTTGAAGAAGATTTTCACCAAGTATTTACCCATAGTATTAACGAATATCAATTTGGAGACAAATGTAATGTGCTCGATTTTGAGGAAGTTTATAAATGACAGTATTTAATACTATTCGATTGGATTGTTTGGGAATTGCGATGTTATTTACCCTATTAAGTTTCTCGGGAATATCTTAAACTAATCTCCCGTAATGAGTTATAAGAATAAAGGGATTAGGATTACCTATTTGGATCGATTAACAACTTTCCTGAAGGAGCTGTAATTGTTAGCAACGCATTTTCTTTGAATTTTTAATAATATAATCTTGAACTAATCCCTCGTAATGAGATATGAAAAAGATATTAGGATTATTTGGATCGATTAACAGCTTGCTTGAAGGGGCTGTAATTTTGTAGGTAATACATTTTCTTTGAATTATTATTGAAGTGTTGGGGTAGTTTTGAATTGTGCACATACAAGGGTAAGGTAAAATGTTGTCGACTTGTCAACGAAAGACCACGATTTTCAGTTGAAAAAATTACATTATTCTTCTTATATTAAGTCGAAATTTTTAGTTCATGACTGTTTTAAATAATTCTGGAGCGTTCTTAATGGTTTTAGAGAATTTTAGATGGTTCGAGATAGTTCTAAATGTTTTTCCAACGAAAGAACAATTTTCTGTTGAAAAATTACATTCTTGTCCTTAATAAGTTGTAATCTTTAGTTCAGGAGCGTTCTAAATGACTATATGGAGCACTTTACATAACTATATAGAGCGTCTAAATGATTCTGGATCATTCTAGATTTGGAAACATCTAAATTTGGAGACAAATGTAATGTGCTGGATTGCCAGGAAGTTTTTAAATGACTGTATTTAATCCTGTTTGATTGGAATGATTGGGAATTGTGATGGTATTTCCCCTTTTAATTTCCTCGGAAATATCTAATACTAATCCCCGTAATGAGTTATGAGAAAGTGATTAGGATTATTTGGATCGATTAAGAACTTTCCTGATGGAGCTGTAATTGTTAGCAATGCGTTTTCTATGAATTGTTAATAATATAATAATAGTATCTTTATTGTCCAACAGTTTCCCATTTACAGGACAATTACATTAAATATCATGGAGTCGTATCAAAAATAAAAATAAATAATTCTAAATATTTAAGACCGTAACAGAGAACTATATGTATGTTTAAATAGGTATTAGCTACTGTAAATAATTAATTACCCCTGCAGTTAAAAATATCAGTATGTTTCGATATACAGGGTGACCCAGGGTCGCGTTAAAGTCCCATAACTTTTTACCTAATTGAGATATCGACTTAATTTTTTTTCAAAAGGTAGGTACAATAATACTGCGTATTATTAAAATAGTTTCGTCTGTATACAGGGTGGCTTAGTATTAGAAATTCACTAAAGTTACCTTTTTTTTTAATGGAACCCCCTATATATTATAACATTTTTGAATTCTTTAGTGAGGTTTAGATGGGGTAGTTTTGTATTGTGCACATACAAGGGTAAAGTTCTCATCCTGTCAACGAAAGACCGTGATTTTTGTTTAAAAAAAAACATTATTCTTCATTATTCAAGTCGAAATCTTTAGTTCAAGACTTCAAGCCTTCAAGATCTTGAGTTCTAGATAAATGATTCTGGACCGTTCTAGGTTGTTCTAATTGATTCTGGAGCGTTCTAAAAGGTTTTAGACAGTTCTAAATGATTTTGAAGTGATCTAAATAGTTCTAGAGACATCTAAATGATTTTGGAGCAATCTAAATGGTTCTTGACTATTCTGGAGAGTTATAAATATTTCTGAAGCGTTCTAAATGGTTTAAATGGTTCTAAAGAGGCGTTATAAATGCTTTTAGACGTTTCTAAATGATTCTGGGGCGTTATAAATCGTTCTATGTATACAGCTATAAATGATTCAGACAAGAACTTTTCACCCTACCCTCGTAATTGTGTGTATTTACCTTGATTGAATTTATTAAGAGTGCCATTCAAAGTCGTAACTGAAGTGCTGGGACTTAAGAAATGCGAAAACCGGTAAAAGAACGTCGAATAAAATCAATTTCCTTAATTGAGTGGGCTTTTCAATTATTAATTAAAAATACTCCCGATATTCTACTCCCTGTGTTCCTTATCGGATTATCCGAAATAAAACGGGAATTTTGCGATGAAACAACTATCCTAAGCGGATTAAATCCCGGCAAAAAAATAACATCGTTCTGCATACCCCCAGAGCCTGACGAATTGGGTCAGTTAGACATGTTTACAGTTTCATCCCTTTTCGAACCGGCTCGGGATTATAGGGCAGCGTCCTTTGTTTGTTCATTTCGGATTTCCCCGAAGCAAACTCACCCCTACGAAACATACATACACACTTAGGTATAGTTAAGACGTCAATAACCACCCTTGAATTTGAACCCTCCAAATAGATGCAACTACCCTCGAAAGGTACCTAAATGCTCATTTTCCAAGTATACAGTGCATTTCTTTAATGTCCCCCCTTTTATTTTTTGAACGGATCAACTTAGAAAATTGAAATTTGGGATAATGAAACTAATGCATGATTACTATATTTTGGAGTAAAATTGACAGATGAAAATTTCAAGATGGCGACTGTGCGCCATCTTGGGAAATAAATTTAAATGGAAAGGGGGGTCTTGTGATACATCATTTTGAAGCTCCTGACAAATACTCTACAACCCTGAAATATAAAGTTAATATCTGCACCCATTAAAAAATGGCGGAACATTTAATAATTACCTGAATACAAACAAAATAATATCAATTTTTCTAGAAATATTTGTTTTTCTATGGCAAACAGCAATCCCAGCAAACCGATAAGGTTTGACAGGTTATTTTTGGTTAAAAAAATTCCAAAAAATTGTACGACAACGAACATTAATTGTTTAGTCAAAATATGCTCATTTAGTTTTTGGTTTTCCTAGTGTTCAAAATATTCTCTTTAGTTTTCGATTTTCCTAGTGTTCAAAGTATTTTCATTTAGTTTTCGGTTGTTTAGTTCTCATTGCAGTTAGGTAGCACGTGAACTAACTCTAAAATGGCCAATTCTCGTCCATTGGAAGATGGAGCACCACCACATTACTCCAGACAAGTAATGAACTATTTGGATGCTATTTTCCCTGGTCGTTGGATTGGTCTTCGAGGTCCTACGGAATGGCCAGCCCGCTCGCCAGATTTGACACCTTTAGACTTTTTTTTATGGGGCTATTTGTAGCAAAATGTGTACGAAACTAAACCTGCTTCAATATTGGATATACGAGAAATAATTACAGATATTTGTAAAAATATCGACGTTACTATGTTCGAAAATGTTCGGATAGGCTGTTCTTGTATCAAGAAGTTCAAGGCAACCATTTCGAGCTTTTTTTGAACAGAACTCAGCTTATTTCCTCAAATTATGACGTTAAACGTCGATTTATTCAGGTAATTATTAAATGTCCGCCATTTTGTAGCAGGTGCAGATATTGACTTTATATTCCAGGGTTGTAGAGTATTTGTCAGGAGCTTCAAAATGATGTATCACAAGACCCTCCCCTTTCCATTTAAATTTATTTTCCAAGATGGCGCCCAGTCGCCATCTTGAAATTTTCGTCTGTCAATTTTACTCCAAAATATAGTAATCATGCATTAGTTTCATTATCCCAAATTTCAATTTTCTAAGTTGATCAGTTCAAAAAATAAAAGGGGGGGGGACATTAAAGAAATGCACTGTATAACAATCCTTTAGCATATTGTACGAGAAGATTCGGTGCACCGGAATTCCGCACTAAAGAAATAATCTCTTTTTGGGGGGTACTTTACCCTTAATCTCTGAATAATTGAGTACCTGAAATCTATAATTTAATTTCATGGAACTGAGACATTTTGTAAATAACGTGTGTATATTCTTTTAGTACACGTGGAAAACTGATTTTAATCTATCGAATCTATTTAAATTTTACATGGAAAGATTGTTAAAAAGGCCCAATGATAATTCTTGGCGCTGTTTTAAATAATATTTAAATGCAGGTTAAAGTGGATAGCAGAGAGCAGAGTGGAGCGAAGAAGTAGAGAGAAAAGCACAATAGAGTAGAATAGAACAAGTTTAATTGTCTAGATGCT